AAAATCAATTTGTGGGTTAAGAGAGAATTTGAAAAAGAGAGCAAGCCACCACTTGAGCACTTGTGCATATTGTTAATCTCGTGATTCACATTTGTTACTCTTGGACTCTTCGGTCCTAGACGGCTAGGCGTCGCCGGAAAGCAACCGACAGATTGTGGTTGCTTCGGAAAGTTTGTAACGGTCGATTCCGCCGCCTCGGAATCATTTAGTGGAAGGAGGAAAAGGAGTTGGAAAAGACTCCGGCTAGAGTGACTTTCGTGGTACCCTCTAGGGCTGACCTTCGTTTGGTCGCCCGTAGCCCCCTCAACGGAGAGTAGGACTTGGACGAGTCCGAACTTCAGTAAAACAAATATCGTGTCTCAATTCGCATTTTATTTGATATTTGTGTTGCTCTAGCTATTCTGTAGGTTCTCTGCGTATATTGTCATCTCCATTAGGTGCCTGCAGTTTGGTTTGAAGATAGAAATCGAAAGGAGCAAGTTTGGGGCCGATCTGCAGAAATCGTGTATACCGGACACGTCCGGTATTTTCTGCCTGCACTGAAAATATTTATTCTCTGTTCTAACTTGGTGTTGCAGGGTTGTAACTTCTAGATATATTCTTTATACCTTGTTTACTCTGTGGCTAATTAGTGAGGGGTGGTAGTACTCTTAATTTGGAGTTTCCATTTTGGAAACTCCTATTTCTAATTGTTTCCGCATTTAAAGGTGTTAATTCTCAGAAACGCCTATTCACCCCCCCTCTAGGCGACATCCTAGGTCCTTTCACCCCACCGCTGGCGAGCCGGCCACGCCGCGCCGCTCTCCGCCCTGGGCCTCCACGCCTCCGGGCCACGCCGAGAGGCCGGCCATGCTCGCGAGGCTGCGCCTCCTCTCCGGAACGCCGCGCCTTCGACCGACGAGGCTGAGCCGCCGCACCTTTGCGCCGAGAGGCCACCACGGCGAGCTCCACCACCCTGCCAAGAGGAGTGAGGGAGGGAAGAGAGAGTGAGAGGTGAGGAGGAGGGGAGACGGGAGTGGAAGGAGAGGGGTGCGGTGAGATAGGAGGGAGAGGAGTGAGGGGAGGGTGAGCTCCACCACCGCGCGAGAGTCCTTCGGCTTCGCGGTCGTCTCGCGGCGAGTGGGTGAAACCCTAACACCTCTCTTTTATATGAAGCCCAGTAGATCGGCTGATTTGGGCTCAAAATTGGGCCAGCATTTTACGTGACGGGCCTTATAGGATGCCCGCCACGGTAAATCGATTTACCGTGGCGAGCATCTTAAGACGTCCGCCACGGTAAATGCCCTATTTACCGTAGCAGGCATCTTAAGACGTCCGCCACGATAAATCAATTTATCGTGGCGGGCTAAAGTGCCCGCCACGGTAAATAAAAAATGCCGCCGCGGTAAATCGTGGCATCTACCGTAGCGGGCAAAAATAGGTGACCGCCACGGAGTGCAAAAATACAACGCTGCGCATAATCGTTTGCGTAGTAGTGGCAAGGTGTGGTCACAGGCCAAAATATGGGAAAACCTCTTGACAACTGACATGTAGAGCTCTGCTAATATGTTCATGTCGTCCCCTAAGCTTCTACGATGTTGGACGATGATCTGTGTGTGACGGACAAAAGTAAATGCAATGATCGAATTTACGACTATGCATGGTCGAAGTTTTAATGGTTATGGGAATTTTGAATTGTTTACCGAGGGCGGCAGAGCTCCGTCGAGATATTGAATAATATTCATCGAATCATCGTCTTGCGAGCTGAATTGTGTATGTTTGTTGTTTGTCACCTGATCTGAAATTTTTTGCTTAAGATAGACGTCCATCCTAGACGTTCATTTTTGAGCCTCTGGTCAGGAAAAAAAAGTTAGCAGCACGTTCGTTTGGTCGTATTTGGCTTATAAGCTATGGCTTATCAGCCGATGAACAATATTTTTCTTTCACACCAAACCAGCCAACAGTACTTTCAACCATTGATTATAAGTCAAACCAGCCCAAATGAACAGGGCGTAGATCGACGATTGAGCCCCTGTGATTAACGACCTGTCTGGGGCAGCGACTGGACGAGAACCAAACAGCCCCTCTATCGCGCGTGTAGAATTTTTATTTTTTTAATCTTTTTTTATTCAATATTTTAATAATAACCGCTCCAAAACATATTTTCAGATTTGATCCTTTTATTCGCGCCAAACAATGTTGTCGCGTCAACACATATGGCGCGGCAACATCTGCCTTGTTGGATGGTGTTTTCGACGTGCAAAAACTACAAAGTTGTAGATCTCATTGAGAGCTATAACTTTCATGTAAAGAGTATCTTCGTTTGACAACATACAGAAACAATTTTATTTTTCTAATACGACAAGTATTAGTACGTAGTTACTATGTTCCTAAATTTTTATATTATTTTTTTTAAGTATCTTAATGACTCCAAATGTAAAAACTCAAAACTACAAAGTTGTAGATCTTATTGAGTGCTATAACTTTCATGTAAAAAGTATCTTCATTTGATAACATACAGAAATGATATTATTTTTCAAATACGACAAGTACTAGTACGTGGTTATTATGCTCCTAAAATTTTATATTATTTTTTGATTATCTTAACGTCCTCAAATGAAAAAAAACTCAAAACTATAAAGTTGTAGATCTCATCGAGAGCTACAATTTTCATATAAATTTCATCTTCATCCGACGTCGTATCAAAGAGTTATGATTTTTCAAAGATTTAATCTTGTCACGCCACTCCTGGTGACGCGACACAGCAATACTGTCAGGCGTGACAGCGTTTTTCACGTCGAAAACGCCGTCTAACGTGGTGGATATTGTCGCGCCATTGCATGTGACATGAAAACGTTATTTGGTCGCATCAGCAACGCGTCGCAAGTTGTTAGATCCGGAAAAAAAATTACGAGTGATTATTATTGAGATATTGAATAAAAAAGGATTAAAAAAAAAAATCCGTCGCGCGACCGTTGAGGGCTTGATGCGGCTGACCGCGATAGGAGAGAGAGAGATATGAGATCCGGCGAGCTAGTCAGTGGTCACAACGTCTGAGCACGCCGGGGTACGACGTTAGTTGAAAGAGAAATTCAAATAGTCCGACGAGATATGAGGGGACTTGTCACCGAAAGCGCCCATACCATGGGCCTGCGTGTCAGGAAACCACAGGTCAAGGGAAACGGTCGCAGTGAGGGGCTGGGCCCATTGCAACACATATTGGCCACCGGTTTATTAGCACCTGAACTGCTAGTACAGTACAGCAACTCAGCGTTGACTGTCTCCAATAATAAATTCCTATACACAGCACCCATTCTTCGATATAGGTCATGTACAGGAAAAAGAGTCGGCATGTAAAATTGAGCTTCTCCAACAGCCAACGCAAATCAGCCATCTTCTTCCTCGGTCTCTCCTCCGCCCACCCATCTCCATCCCCTCCTCTCTTTATACGCCACCGCATCAGCCACCTCGCCGCTGCGCCGATGGTCGAGGGGCCAAGGCCACCTCGTCGCCCGCGCCGGGATGGCAGGAACCTCCGCGGACCGATGTCTCCGCGCTGCTACCGCCGTCGCCTCCGGCTTCCTCTCCTGCGCCCCCTACGTGCGCCGCCGAGGCCAAGCACTGGAGCACCGCGCCCCTGCCTTCGCCACGCCGACGCTCCTGCCGTCAAGGTCGCGCCGCTCTACTCCCTCCATCCCTCCCCTTCTTCTTCTCTGCTTCCTCTGCTTTCTCCTCCCTTCTCTCTCTCTTGTCTTGTTCCGCATTGGGGCAGAGCACCGCCGGAGCCACCCTGCGCGGCCGCCCCGTCCTGCTTCTCCCCCTCTGTTTCTCTCTCTCTCTCTCCCTCCTCCTCCTCCTCACTCTGCTCTCTCCCTCTCAGGGCAACCTCGGCGGCGCGGACTGGCGAGATCCAGGCCAGCCTCGGCGGCGTGAACCGGCGAGCAGGGGCGAGTGCGGACCGGTGAGCAGGGGCAACCTCCACCGACGGCGGATCGCATCCGCGCGAGGCGAGGCCCACAGTGGAGGAGCAGCTGCAGCCGCCGGCTCGAAGGAGGAGTCCTCCCCGCCGTGGTCCGCCTGACCGTGCTCCACCGCGGAACCACCTCGCCGTGGGCGCGCCTCACCGAGCCGGCCGCACCCCACCTCGTAGCGCCGGCGGCACTATGGCCTCCTCCGTCGCGGTGTCCCTCCGCGCCCTCGCTGCCGCCTCCTTCCCCAAGCCCCGCCCTGCCCCTTCCTCCCTTTTCCTCATCCTCCTCGCGCCGGCCCTGCCTCGACGCCTGCTCCGCCTCCGCTCCACCAGAGATTTGGGTTGAGAAGAGAGAAGACAGAGGGAGGAGTGGAGGACGCACATTTGGCTTCCCTCTCTCCATCTACGCAAAATAGGCGTTCAGTATGCCTACTCTGTTGGACGCCGGTTTTTTCACGTTCGCGATGCATTTTGAGTTTGGGTCGGTGTATGGGTAGGCTGTTGGAGACAGTCTAACACGCGATAAATCCCATTCAATCAGCCTCAGCAGTGATGTTACCTACATATTTACGTTTACAAGGAAACAAAGCTATCCAGTATTCTACTTTATGATGCCTATAAGCAGGTGAGAGCGCCTGAAGGAAAGCGAGCGCCCGAGACGCGATTGCCAGGCTCTGTTGCCGGGCGCGCTACAGGCGCGAGACCGAAGGGAGGTCGAGTAGATGGATGTTTAACAGAAAACAACACCAGCAAGGCAACAAGTAGCCACGCATCCAAATCGAGCCCACAGGAGATAGTCGGATAGCAACCACGAATGATGCAACCAATTACTACTACAATATCCAACTACCAGTGGCCGTAAAGAAAACCAATTACTACTACTACAATATTCAACTACCAGTGGCCGTAAAGAATTTAAGGAGATTATTACAACTGCTAGGCATTCTTGGATGCACAACGGCTGTTCCTAAGGTACTCTGATGGATCGGTGGCGGTAACAATGCTGTAACCGGGAGCTGATGAGCTCATCACCAGGCGTGCTACGCTACGGCTAACGCCAGGCGGATGCGACGGTGACCACGCGCCCCATCCACCCGACCCCGAGCCGGCCGCTGTCCAGCTTCACGTCGAACCCCGGACGTAGCCGTGCCCTGACGCGGTCGGCGACGCCCTGCCCGATCGCCACGGGCCGCAGCCCCGCCATGCCGAACCGGGCGCGCCACTTGCCGAACACCTCGCACCGCTCCACCCGGTCGGGCCCCTCCCGCGCCACGGCGTTGGCCGCCTTGTTCGCCAGGGCCGTCTCGGCACGGGCCCTCTGCGCGCTGTCGCGGGCCAGGGTCGCGTCTAGCGACTCCAGCACCGCGCCGTAGTGCGCGCACGCGTCGGCGAACCGCGCCGCCAGAGGCGCCGTGTTGGCGTTGAGCTCCTGCTCCACGAGCGTCACCACGCGCGGGCATAGCGCGCGCACGCCACGGAGGAGCTCGTCGCGCGGGTTCGCCGGGGACACGCTCTCGTCCGGGACGCGCGAGAGAACGAACGCCAGGTTCACCACCAGCGCCTCCGCTCCTGGCTCGCACCCGAGCCTCGACGCCTCGATCTCTCCAGCAACGCAGCTGACTGCTTTGAACCGGAACTCCAGCCCGGCCTGCTGGGCGTACCTCTTGAGCCGCTGCTCCGTGGCCCCGAGCGCCTGCGTTAGAGCCGGCGTGAACGGCGACGTGGGGTCGGCGACGGCCGTGACCTTGAGACATGTGCCGGCCACGCGGCGGCTGGAGAGGGCTTGGATGAGGGCGATATGCTGCGCGACGCTAACGTCGAAGTCGATCAGGTGGATGACGCGCTGGTCGGCCACGGCGTCGAGGATGGCGAGGTTGGCGCCGTGGAGGGCGAGGCCGAAGCAGGGGGAGACGTCGTGCAGCAGCTGGCACGCCGCACGCTGCTCGGCACCGCATAGGCCCGCGAGGTGTTGAGACGCGGGTGGTCGTCCGATGCGGGAGGACAGGGCGGACGCCATCATGGCCACCAGCCTCTGTTCCGCGTCCCCACGCGGGTTCGCGGCAACCTTCAGGACCGCGAGGTGAGCGGCCGCGGCTGCGTGGTTGCCGTCGACGATGGCGGCGGCGGCCTCGGACAGCAGCTGGCGCGACGAGGCTGTCGAGGTCGGCGGCGAGCTGGACGCTGCCGACGAAACCGTGGACGACGAGGAGTTGGACGGAGACCTTGACATGGCGGCAGGCGCGGTGCTGTGGTTGCTGGGAAGAGACGTCAAAGGCGCGGCGGTGATGGAATTGAGCTCCTGTATCGTGTCCCCCCACGCAGAGCTGGTGACCGTGGAGCCGCATGCACTCCCCGCCGCCTCTGCCTCGCCATCGTCGTCGTCGCCGAGTAGGTGCTTCTCCAGCTCCTGCAACAACACCAGCTCTCTGGCCGCCGAGCGACCCGCAGCCGGCACCCTGGCCACGGCCTGCGGAGGCGCGGACGGCGCGGCCACCATCTGCCTCTGCAACAGCGGCCGCATATGCGACGGCCGCGTCTCCATGTGCGACGCGGTGGTGAGCGACGACAGCGTCGACGACGGCTGCGGCGAGAGCCCGGCAAAGCCCGATGAAGGCGGCCTGGAGGGACCCGAGGCCCGCGAGGCGGAGGCCCCCGCCAGCACGGACCCGATGTCGATCGGCGGGTGCGCGATCTGCGACTGCGCCGCGACGCGCTGCCTCACCTCGCGGAGGTACAGCGCCTGCTGCCACCTCTCCACCTCGCCAAGGCTCCTCTTAAGCACCCCGCCGCTCGCCACGGCCGCAACGTCCTGTCGCGTCGGCAGTAGCTGCTGCGGCGGCGGCGGGGGTTGCCTCTTCACCGTCGGCGCCTGCGCGACCGATCCGGCGCCGTAGGCGTAGGCGTACCCGCGGCGAGGGTCGCCCCACGGCGCGCCAGCGGGGTCCATGCCGCCGGCGAAGCCCAGAGCAAAGCAAGTGCGGAGACGCCGCACGGGAGCAGGCAGGCAGGGTCGCAGGGTAAGCGCGAGAGAGAAGGATGACAAGAGGGATGGGACGAATCTACCGTAGCGAAAACCCAGCCGTGCACATTCAATTCCTTGCTCCGCTAATAAAGCGCCTGCCTTTCGCAGCCCACCCTCGGTATACTTTCCCCGGTGCGAACCAGAGCGGCGGACTCTTGCTTTGCTTTGCTTGGGATCCGACGCCAACGCCGGTGCGGCAGTAACGAGTGACGCTGACGGCGTGGGGCTGCTGCGCCTGTGGTTGGGGAATCGATCGATCGGTGGGTCTGGGGGCGGCCAGACTTTTACCTTGGACGAGGAGGAAGAGGATTCGAATCGTCGAGGTCGACGGGGTCATCAATCCGTGTTTGGGCCAGGTTTTGATGCGAAAATACGCTAGGCGATGGTGAGGCTGCCGGTTACGCATGTAAGCAATGACGAGGTGCGTTTCGTCTCAAGGGAAAAAATGACGAGGACGTGCAGGTGAAATGGACTTGTGAGGTGATGAGGTGGTGGTGGAGGGATGGGGAAACGGGGAGCGAGAGGGAGACGTCGCGTCAAAGCTACGATCCTCGTCGGGACGCCCCCGTCTCTACGGGCGCCCACACACCTGCCGGCTGCCGGTGACGGTGCTCTGAAGTCCAAACACCACGCCACCGGCTAAGAGCATCTAGTTCCCTAAATCTCTTCCTGGTCCTTGATTTTAGTAAAATGAGAAAAAAACTCTTCTCCAATAACTTCTAATCTATCCTCTTAATCTTTTAGTACTCAGGAATAACTCCCCCAACCCGCGTAAGAAGATTATCAAATTAACCTTAGAGCATCTACAAGAATATAAAAAATTCTTCCCAAAATCCTTGAGGCTGTGTTTAGTTCACGAAATTTGAGAATTTGGCTACTGTAGCACTTTCGTTTTTATTTAGCAATTAGTGTTCAATTATGGACTAATTAGGCTCAAAACGTTCGTCTCGCGATTTCCAACCAAACTGTGCAATTAGTTTTTTTCGTCTACATTTAATGCTCCATGCACGTATCGCAAGATTCGATGTGATGGCTACTATAGCACTTTTTGAAAAACTTTTTGAGAATTAAACACAGCCTGACTTTTCCAAGTTCTAAAAAATAATTGGGAGCAACAAAGGAGTGTCTCTCCAATAGCTTCTAAAAAAAATAACTCCTAAAACATAAAAATCTAGAAAACTTTGCAAACAGGTCCTTCTTCCTCTAGAGTCTGGACCATGGCAGCCATGGCCGCAGGGCTGCTGCGCAGTGGTTTCTTCGGGGTCGCGGGGGTGGCTCTGTCCGGGGATGGGGCGGCGGCTCCGGCCAGTTTACCGGCGACGGCGGTGTGCGGCACCTGCGCTGGGGCTCTCGTGAGCCTGCGACCAGGGCCGGGCTCGGTGCCACGCGTGTAAACACAAGGGGCAGCGGCGGCGGCGGCTTCAGGTGAGAGTGGCGGGCGGTGGCGCGACGCTGGTGAGGCGCTAGGGCGGCAGTGGTGGCTCGCTCTGTGGCTAGAGGCGGCGGCACTGCTCTGCAGCTGGTGCGGTGGTGGGAACCGAGGGGCGCGCGGGCGGCCAGCGAAGCCCGATACGCGCGATTGGGAAGTGGGAGGGTGCGCGCATCTTTACGCGGTTGGGCCATTTTTTTCCCCAAGTAAGAGGCGGTATTAAGAGTCGTTGAAGATGCATTTTTTAATCTTGTCAAAAAATTAAATGATTGAAAGAGTGTTTTTGGAAACTCTTGGAGATGCTTTGGGTCTTTTTATTTTGACTCTATAAATCATGCTATTGGCTTGGAATTTAACGTTCTAGAATTTCTAAACTTTACGGTGAATGAGATATATAAATAGATCCGTGGACCCACACGCTTTATTTCTGCCCTGCACCTTGTACCACGTTCTTCGGCTCGCTCTTTTTTTTTCCCTCTCATCTAGGTATAACTGTAGTATCTGTTCATGTGTATACCAACTCTACACACGCATACCACACTCATACCACACGTACATAAGCAAACCTACAACTATACTTATACTCAAATCACTGGATCACGTCCTTTGTGAGATCACCGGATTCAACCATGGACCTGTGGGCGACGGGACGCGTCGCATTCCCTTTCCGAATTTATTTGGGGACGAACCCGGTGAGAAACGCTGAGTGCGATTCCAGAGAATCCAACTCTTGCCGGCTGACTGCCCACCGGCTGAGCTGGCCATCCGAGCTCTGCTCGGTTCTCTCGGCTCGCTCATTTACAAACAACAGTTCAGCAGACAAGTATGTCCCCCTATGTGGCCACTGGCAACACACAAGTATGTTCCGCATGGGGCCATGCTAACTTGATGGATACGTGCTTAATTGTGATGCTTGAAATGGACTTCAATTCCAAAGATCCGAAAGGACTATAGTATTTCTTAAGGGAAAATACATTGGTTTTTCTCATGAATGATCTCATACACCCAGTGTCTTATGATTAACCACGAAATGATTGAACAACCAACACATACAGTAATATGTTGTCTTTTAAGTTGTCATATAGTAATTCAATTATCCTTAATTTATGCAATTAATAAAGAAAGTTTATGATTTGCATGTCAACATTGAATCGTACAATGGTGAATATACTTATCTCATAGTCCTAAATTTTTGTTCACGAGGGGTTTGCTTTGCAAAAACTCCACTGCGCTTTCTCTCATCTTTCTCTCTCTCCTCCATATCATAAAAAAAATCATACCTCCGCTATTGCATGAGATGGCCTTTTATGACTGTTCTACATATACCTGCCCTTATTATATGAGGGTATAGTCATTATATTCATTTGTGTGGGACACCTGTGATACAAAAATACCGCTGGTCTATAACCATTAGTATTAGCAAATTTTTAGTGACGGTCTGTGCACTCAGTTGGCATTCTCTAGGTCCGCTTTTGAGTGTAATTACTTGTTTACTTCTACTAAATATCACTCACTGGTCACTTTCACTGCAAGTAGGAAGAATTAAAGAGGTGGTAGAACGATAATTTGGTCAATGCAAAATAATATTCTTTTGGGGAGTTAATCTCTCTGGAGGTTGCTTGTTGTGTTGGATGTATCGGACTTAGGTAGAAAAAAGAACTTTCCTTCCAACTACCTTTCAGACCGTCTCCCCTTCTAATTCCTCGAGTGCCATTCCACGTAATACATTTGTTTCTGTTTACATGTAAAAAGATATCTTTTTTTCTCTCACCGCTATGTTTTACAAAATGTGTTGTTTTCACGTAATCAGCTAAGATTCATAAGCTATATTTTGGAGGGGAAAGCGTATCGAGCATAGTATATAAGCATCTTTTGTTCATTAAGTCGAATACAAAGGGCTCTAGAATATTAATTGGTACGTTGTGAATGTCATTGTCCACGTGTTCTCTACAACGACGGCTAGTGCATGGATGATTGGATGGCAATGTTCTCATCCGATGCTTTGGCACACCACTTGTATATAATATATAATATTCGTTTGAAATAACAATGGACACATTTCTTGGGTGTTACAACTAATTAAGGGTATATTTGGATAACAAGCACTGGTTGTTAGTCTAACTAAAGCTTAGATCAAAGTTTGATGGCTAAAGTTTAGAAGATTTAAATCGAGTCTTATGTTGTTTGGATACATGGACTACTAGAGAAACTAATAATTCGTTACTTTAAACTAAAAAGATTGTCCACCCTTTTTTCCACCCATTTGTATTGTATAGGACTAAACTTTAATCCAGTGATCCAAACAGACTCTAACTAATGTTACTTCTATAGTACTTCCTGTCAAGCTTACGTTTCTTGGGAGTATCACTGGTTTATAGAAGAATCCAAACACACTAACTAATTCTCTTGCATCCATGCGCGGTGATTTATATTGACATCATTGCTGACCTATATTTGACATATTAAATTAATATGTTCACTATTCTCACCATTCTCAGTAGAAACTTCAGACCAGTCTACACTCGTCTAATGTGGATTTAGGTCGTGTATCCATACGTAATTATCTAACACATGAGAGAGTTGGTCTCTCTTTATAAATTTATGAAGCAATCTCATATGTCATGAATTTGCGGCAGACATCCATCGCTAAATTTTTTCCCGGAAAAACTAGCGACGAGTGAGCCCGTGTTTAGTTGGGAGGGAAAGTTAGAATTTAGGTACTGTAGTACTTTTGTTTTTATTTGACAATTAGTGTTCAATCATGGACTAATTAGGCTCAAAACGTTCGTCTCGCAATTTCAACCAAACTGTGCAATTAGTTTTTTTTCGTCTACATTTAATGCTCCATGCACGTATCGTAAGATTCGATGTGATGGATACTGTAGCACTTTTTTTAAAAAGTTTTTGGAACTAAACGCACTCTGAATCACTGGTCAGTAGTTTGGGTCATTTTGTCCTCTCCTCGGAGACTATTGTTGGACAAGCCCTAGGTCATCTGAACTTTCCCCACACAAGGCATGTCGTTGCATGTTCTCTCTCTCTCTCTCTCTCTCTCTCTCTCTCTCTCTCTTATTACTACGTAAACCGCCAATGACTTGTGGGTCCCTATATTATTGGACCTGGATCGAGAACGGCGTGTATTTCTTTGACAACAAGAATGGCAGTGGATGATAGTGGTCAATGCATCCCATTCTGTGGCACCGGCCCGGTGGCCCCACCTCGATCGAGCATGCTGGGTCCCTACATCCCTCGCTGGCTAGCTCGTGCCGGCTGGCTTTGTTGCTTGTCGTATTCGGTTTTCGTTTTGCCATTGCCCCTTCCCTCGTTGGCGCTACCACTCAATTTTATGCATTTTGGCCTTTTTTCAATAAAATTTATGTTTAACCCCCTAAGCGACGTAAACTGATCTTTGGACCCTGAGGGTCGGCGCCGTTGCCTACGGCGCCGAGGTAACACGTCTTGGCGCCGTAGGACTTGGCACCGAGATGCCTGGCCG